AGGATCGCCGGAGCCCAGCAGGTCGAGGCTGCGGTGGCCGGGAATGGCCACTGCACTCCAGTCTGGGTGACTGAGTGAGACTCCAACTCTAAATAAATAAATAAAATAAAATAAAATAAATGAAGCCTTCTTCAGAGGCTGCCATGATGATTATAAGAGTTACTATATATAAAACACTTAAATTCCTTTTGCTTAATTTAGTAAACTCTCCATAAATGTTAAGTATCTTTTTAACAGATGATGTGTGTGATTTATTTTAGGGTTTTTAATATTTCAAATTCTGGATCCCATCTAGCAGAAATCCCAGTAGGGATCCTCATACCCCTTTCCCCAAATAGAGCTTGGGGGCTGACTTTGTACCTCTATTTTCAGGATGCCTTTGAGCAGGGCCAGGTTTTTCTGGGGAGCAATGAGCAGGGGTATGAAGTATATGAAGACCTGCCCAAGGGCATCCGAGGGAATCGCTGGAAAGCTGGCCTCACCATCGTCACCCCTGAGCGGAGATTCGTTCTCACCTGCCCCAGCGAGAAGGAGCAGCAGGAATGGCTGGACAGTTTGCGAGATGTCCTGTCCCACCCTTTGACGCCCCTCAATCTCTTCAGTAAGAAGCAGGAACTGGGGGTTATTCTTTTGTCCAAAGACAGAGGACAGAAGGGGACTTCTTCACCCAGGTTCAGCTATGATACCACCAAAGAGCCCTGACTAGGATCTTGTCTTTGTCTCTCCTCCTGCCAAAGAAAAGCAGACCATGCTTGTTACTGCCAGAAAGTCCCCTCAAAGCCAGGTGTGCTGGGTCACGCCTATAGTCCCAGTGCTGTGGGAGGCCAAGGCAGGAGGATTGTTTGAGGCCAGGAGTTTGAGACCCTGTCTCTACAAATAATTTTTAAAATTTAGCTGGGTGTAGTGGTGCATGTCTGTAGTCCCAGCTACTGGGAGGCTGAGATGCCCAGAGACTGGATCCTATGAGCCCAGGAGTTCTAGGCTGCAGTGAACTATGATCGTGCCACTGCTCCCTAGCCTGGATGACAGAGCAAGACCCTGTCTCTAAAAAAAAAAAAAAAATTAGCAAATTTAATTATAGGCCAAGTCCGGTGGCTCACATGTGTAATCTCAGCACTTTGAGAGGCTAAGGCTAGAGGATTGCTTGAGGCCAGGTGTTCGAGTGTAGCCTGGATAACAATATGAGACCCCCAACTCTATAAAAAAATGAAAAGAGAAAGATCATTCAATCACTAAGCCCCCTCTGTGTACCCTAAGTTTTCCTTACAGTCTTTCTCCAGGGAGTTTGGCCCTGGCAGAACCCTTGATGCTGTTACACTCTGAGCAGCCTAGAAGCTGAGGAGCCTCTCTCACCCTCTACTCTTCCCCATCCCTTTTCTCATGAGAAAACTCTGGCCTTATTATTAGCTAAGGTCACACCCCCTGGGCAGCTCCTGGGACTTTGGATTCCTTCACATTCCAGAGGGAAGGCTATTTCTAGTGTCTCCTTTGCTCTGGATCCTCCCTTCTGTCTGTTTCTCTCCTTTCCTCCTCCTCACCCCAGATGTGTCACCAAAGGGCTTCCCTCAATGCCGACAGCCCCATGAAAAAAGGAGAGACATGCTGAGCTGGAGCAGGAAACTCCTGGCTCTGCGCCTGGTTTCTGGGGCACAAAGGAGAAGTTCTGTGCTTGGAAAAGTACTGACTGAGCAGATGGCCCTGTACAACCCCTTGGGGGAAACCTTTGTGACCTTTGAGTCTGACCAGTGCAAACACAGACTCTCTTCACTGTCCCAAATCCCAAAGCCAACCAGCCACAGAAACTGACTTGCAAATTGCTAGTGAAACCTCCTAGGTGGTGCTGTCTTTTCTCCGTGGACCTGTGTATGTGAGTCTCTCTCGGTTTCTCTCTGTCTCTCTCCCTCTGCTTTTTCTCCTTTTCTGGTATGTGTGTCCCCTCTGCCCCTCTATCTCTCGTTCTTTCATTCTGTTTTTTTTTTTTTCCCCTTTCCTTTTTTTTTTTTTTTTTTGAGTCGCTCAGGCAATCCTTCCATCTCAGCCTTCCAAGTAGCTGGAACTACAGCAGCACGTTACCATGCCTGGCTAATTTTTTTATTGATTGTAGAGATGAGGTCTCGCCAAATTGCTCATGCCAGTCTCAAACCCCTGGACTCAGGCAATCCTCTTGCTTCCTCCTCCCAAAGTGCTGGGATTACAGGCATGAGCCACCGTGCCCAACCCTCTCTTTTTTTTGAGTTGGAATCTCACTCTGTTGCCCAGGCTGGAGTGAGTGGCACGATCATGGCTCACTGCAGCCTTGACCTTCACTCCTTCCACCTCAACCTCCTGAGTGGCTGGGACTACAGGCATGTGCCACCACACCCAGCTAATTTTTTTTTTTTTATAAAGACGAGGTCTTGCTATGTTACTCAGGTTGTTCTCAGACTCCTGGACTCAGGCAGTCCTCTTGCCTCAGCCTCCCAAAGTGTTGGGATTACAGGCATGGGCCATCGTGCCCAGCCTTCATTCTGTTTTTTACTCTGGCTTTGTACGCCTGTCCCTTTGCTGTCCCTTCTCTCCAGTAGGACTGCACTGACATGGGCATCTCCAACAGCCCTCTTCTTGTTTCCCTTGCAGCTGCATCAACAGAGAGTGGCTGCAGCAGCAGGTGACCTATCGGCTGAGGGACTAGCTGGTCACTGAACACCCAGAGCTCCTATGGGAAGAAGAAGCCCTCACCACAGCCCTGGTTTCCCAGCATTCTGCCAAAACCAAAGCTGTGGCTTTATCTGCCAGCTGCCTGGACCCTCCCCACTACTCACTCTGGGGGCACATCTGCCCCTCTCCTCCATACACATGCAGGGTCGAAATGTCCTTAAGGCCCATAGCTTTCTCACATCTGAAATGGAAACATTGCAATGAAAAGGTACCCAAAGCATCATGCAAGTGGCATCCTGCCCCCACCCCCCAAAAAGTTTAATCTGAATCTAACTAAGAGGAAATAATCAGACAAATCCACAAGGATATTCGGCTAAATACCTGGCCTGGACTCTCAGGAAATGTCAATATCATGAAAAATAAGGTAGTCTGGGAAACTGTTCTAGATTAAAGGAGACCAAGGCATGGCAACCAGATGCAATTCATGATGCTGGATTAAAAAAAAAAACAGCTGGCCGGGCACAGTGGCTTAGCCTGTAATCCCAGCACTTTGGGAAGCCAAGGCGAGAGGATTGCCTTAGCCCAGGAGTTCGAGACCAGCCTGGACAACTTGGTGAGCCCTCGTCTCTACAGTAAATAAAAAAATAAGCTGGGCATGGTAGCTCACTCCTGTAGTTCCAGCTACTTGGAAGACTTGGAAGAATCATCTAAGCCCAGCAGGTCAAGGCTGCAGTGGCTGTGAGCCTGCACTGCACTCTAGCCTGGGCAACAGAGTGAGACTCCAACTCAAAAAACAAAACAAAACTGTAAAGGACTTAATTGAGATAATTGGGGAAATTTGAATATGGATGTATATTAATAGTATTATAAGACTGTGATAATTATACTGTATTTGTATAGGAAAATGTTATTGTTCTTAGGATATACATGCTGAAGTATTTAGGGGTAAAATGTAATGATGTCTACAAGTGATTCTTAAATGGTTCAGCAACAAATAGGTGTATATAGAGTATATATGTATATGTGTGTGGAGAGAGAGAGAAAGAGAGCTCACCACTGTGCAAATGTTAGCAACTTATGAATCTAGATGAAGTATAGATGGGCGTTTATTGTCCTACTCATGCACATTTTATATAGGTTTGAAAGTTTTCAAATTTAAGCCGGGCTTGGTGGCTCAGCCTGTAATCCCGCGCTTTTGGTAGGCTGAGGTGAGTGGATTGCCTGAGCCTGCGGGTTCGAGACCCGCCTGGGCAGGCAAGACCTCATCTCTACAATAAATCAAAAAAATTAGCCAGGCGTGGTAGCATGAGCCTGTAGTTCCAGCTACTTGGAAGGCTGAGGTGGAAGGATCACCGGAGCCCAGCAGGTCGAGGCTGCGGTGGCCGGGAGCGGCCACTGCACTCCAGTCTGGGCGACAGAGTGAGAATCCAACTCAAAAAAAAAAAAAAAAAAGAAAGTTTTCAATTTAAAAGTGGGGGGAAAATAAACAACCACTTTCACTCTTCAAAAGTGGTGGTTTTCTGAATGAGTCAAAAATGTTGCTAAGATTATATCACACCATTTCTATGAAAAATAATAATAATGAGGCCTGGTGCGGTGACTCATGTCTATTATCCCAGCACTTTGGGAGGCTGATGTGAGAGGATTGAGCCCATAGGTTTGAGACCAGCCTGGGCAACTTGGCGAGACCTCATCTCTACAATAAATCAAGAAAAATTCACCAGGTATGGTGGCACATGCCTGTAGTTCCAGCTACTTGGAAGGCTGAGGTGAAAGGATCACCTGAGTCCAGCAGGTCAAGGCTGCGGTGGCCGTGAGCATGCCACTGCACTCTAGCCTGGGCAACAGGGTGAGACTCCGATTAAAATAATAACGATAATAATCCTGGGAAAGTTTCATCTTTGTGTACATTTTAGAAGATTAAATAGCCTACATAATATAAAAAATAAAATTTGAGGCCCAGTGCAGTGGTGCATGCCTGCAATCCTAGTGCTTTGGAAGGGTGAGATGAGAGGATCGCTTGAGGTCACAAGTTTGAGATCACCATAGGCCACATAGTAAGATCCCATCTCTACAAAAAATTTAACAAATTAACTGAGTGTGGTGGCACATGCCTGTAGTCCTAACTCTTGGGAGGCTGAGGTAGGAGGATCACTTGAGCCCAGGAATTCAAGGTTACAGCGAGCTATGATTATACCACTGCACTTCAGCCTGGGTGACAGAGTGAGATCCTATCTCAAAATAATAAAAATACTACTACTACTACTAATAATAATAATAATAATATCCACATGGTCACAGTGCTGTAGAAGAAAAGAAGCAAGCTGAGGAGACACAGCTTCGTTGGACTATAGAGCAGAGACTGATCCAGCCCAGGTTCCATGTGTGGCCCTGTCACAAACTTGAGACCATTGAAAAATTCACTTCCCCGCCTCTGTGCCTTAGTTTTTCTCTTTAAAATAGGAAGTTACACTAACTATTGATTTTCAGGGTAACTAACAAGTATTTCTGACTACCTCCCAGGTGTCAGGCTATGTGCCAAGCCTTGTGAGTAAGCAGGACCGAGATGATGTGGTCCCTGCTGTCACAGATCACAGACTGCCGGGGAAGCAGCCCTTGTCTGGGAAGTACAATGAGATGTGTGTTCAAAAGGGGAAGAGCAGGCTGCTGTGGGAATGTGTGGCAATAAGGTTTACCCTAATTGGAGGGGAGAGGGGAACCTCCTTCCTCTCCAGAAAGTGAAAGCTTTAAGTTGAAAGCTTCAAACTACCTAAAGCTTAGTCAATGGGAACAGGGTAAGGAAAACACTCGATGTTCAGGCCAGTTCAAAGGTCCCAAGATGGGAAAGAGGAACTGACAAAAAATCTCAAATGGCTTAAATGTTAGAGAAACAGATCACCAAGGTCCCTGCTCTGTGATTCTTTGTTCCTTTCCTTTCCCTTCAAATGAGGCACAGAAGTACACTGAGTGTTTTCACTATGATGAAGACCTAGAGGGAGACTTTAATAGATTCTCTGCATTGTATGGCACTTTCCTTTGGGTCCTCCAATCAGAGGACAAGGAACACATCAGCGAATCTCCTTCCTGAAGTTTCTTGACTGCCCGGTGGAGAGGTGAGTCCTGTCAGTCTCCTCTGCCTCCGAAAGCACCTGAAACGTCTTCTCAATGCCTGCTGGCTTGTGGATTAAGGGTCAGTTTACTCATCTACCTTTTTCACCACCTGGGAACTCTATTGGTGTACTCCACTCAATGCTAGGGCTGAGGAAGTCAATAAAGGAACAGTTCTGCCCTCAAGGAACTTCCGGTCTAGGGTAGAAAGAGAAGTAAACAGGCAGTCACAGAGCTACTTGAGGAGGTAAGCTGGGACTCTAAGGGTGGACAGAGTATAACAAGACAACTGTCTGAAGGCCCTGGGAAAAGACCAAAAGCAGGCAGAAGCCAGAGAAAGTTTGGTACTAGGAGCCAGGGAATGGCGTGGGTGAGTTTTTCATTTTTTAGCTTTTCACCTGAGGGCAGGCCCAGGTCAGTGTCTCAGGGGGCCACCTGCAGTCTTATTGACTGAAAAATAGGGAACAGAGTTTAAGGTGACCATAGCAACTGGAAAGTGAAAGGGGAAAAGTCTGATGGGAGAGAGAGGGCCACAGAGAGGGAGCCCTGAATTCTGCAGGACTGATCTCTTGAGGAACATAACAGAATCCAAGAGATCTACGATGTATTTTTCACAATATCAGGATATAACCCTAAATTACTAGACATATAAAGAAACAAGAAAAAATGAACCATATTTCTATTAGGAATATCCAGAGAAATAGAACCAAATGGGATATGCATAGATACATAGAAAGAGATTTATTATGAGAGATTGGCTCAGGTGGTTATGGAGGCCAGAAGTCCCTCAATCTACCATCTGCAAGCTGGAGGCCTGGGAAAACCACGGTGTCTTCCCAGTCCAAGCCTGATCTGGGAGAGCTGATGTCTAAAGGCCAGATGGTCTGGGTGTGGGGGCTCAGCACTTTGGGAGGTGGAGGCGAGAGGATTGCCTGAATTCAGGCATTCGAGATCAGCCTGGGCAACATGTTGCGACCTCGTCTCTACAAAAAATTAGCTGGGCATGGTGGCATGCACCTGGAGATCCAGCTACTTGGAAGTCTAAGGTGAAAGGATAGCCTGAACCCATCAGGTCAATAAGGCTGTGGTAGCCGTGATCGTGCCACTGTACTCCAACCTGTGTGACAGAGTGAGACTCTGACTCAAAAAAGATTAAAGTAAAATAAAATAATAAAAGCTAGATGGATGTCCTAGCTCAAGCAGATAGAATGAATTCATGTCTCCCCCACCTTTTTTATTTATTTGGGCCTTTAGTGGATTGGATTTTCTTACCCATATTGGTGGGGGCAATCTTCCTTACTTACTGCTCAATGCCTGCTGGGTCAGTTTACTCATCTACCTTTTTCACCACCTGGGTGTTAGGATCTGGAAAAGGTGAGGGCGAGATGGATGGAGAGAGAGGGAGAGTCGCTGGGACGCTTAGCCCTGCCAGAGCCGGCCGGCAGGAGGTGCCACGCTGGCAACCCAGAGATCCAAGTAAATGCAAAGAATTGCAACACAAAGAGGTGAGAGTAGAAAAGATTTACTTAAGAAAGCTTCACCGCCCCCTTACGCTCTAGGTGAATGTGGTGAATGTGGCGTTGTAGCCCCCCAGAGTCCTGGCTTAAATCCTTCTCTTGGAGATGTTGTAGTGACTGCTGTGACTTCCTTATCGACCACCTGTGGATGTCTTGGAGAACCAGTGACACAGAGACCCACTAATGTCCGCCCATATTATCATAGCCCCTAGAGAAGGGCATGACAAGGACTCTAATTCTGCACTTTCTGGCATGACATTCCTTAGAGCTTATGGAGGATGCACTTCCCCTTATCTTCTAGGCATTCCCAGTGGGTAGCTTCGGGGATCCTTGGCTTCCCTGTAGATAGTGCCCAATTTATTGAAAGATCGAATCCCCACCTGCTCCACCTCTAAGCGGTCATAACTTTTGTAATTACATTTCATGGCTTTTACAATCCTTGCCCAATGCATGATGTCTTAGGCCTTGTAAATTCCCTTTACTCTAGGCAAGCTTGATTGCTGCTATGAGATACCTCATGGCACCAGGAAGTCTGTTTCTGAAAAGACAAAGTTGGCAAAGTTAATTTTACTTAAAGTGTCCATTTCTCCAAAAGTATAGCTTCTACTTTCTCATAAATGTTTCAGGGTTAAGAACAAGATGAAAAATGACTTTCAGCTCTTGGTCTATCCTTTCACTGGGAACTCTATTGGGTGTACTCCACTCAATTCTAGGGCTGAGGAAATCAATAAAGGAACAGTCCTGCCCTCAAGGAACTGCCGGTCTAGGGTAGAAAGAGAAATAAACAGGCAGTCACAGAGCTACTTGAGGCGGTAAGCTGGGACTCTAAGGGTGGACAGAGTATAACAAGACAACTGTCTGAAGGCCCTGGAAAAAGACCAAAAGCAA